TTCGTACGCTGCTCGTGGGCGTCGCCATCTGCGTCTGTTGGGGATACACACAGCTGCTTGTGCGCTACGGCAGCATCTCTCCTGCAGCTACAGCTCTCTTCACCACGGCCTACGATGGCCGCGCAGCCGATGACTTGCCACCTACATCGCCGCCTTGGCGCCCTCCGTTCCGTGTTGTAGTATCGCTTACGACGACGCCTAGCCGGCTGGACAAGGTCATGGACAGCGTCCGCTCGCTCACGAAGCAGAGCCTTGTACCAGACCAGATCTACATCAATATTCCTGAAGGCCCCATGAAGCGACATCCAGAGCGCTCATACGACGAGACAGAGATCCCGTCCGAACTCGTGGGTCTCACACCGCTTGTTAAGGTGAATCGCTGTGTGGATGACGGTCCGGCCACGAAACTGCTGGGAACTTTACGACTGGAGCACAATGCGTCTACACTGATCATCACGCTGGACGACGATTTCGAGTATCCACCGGAACTGGTGGCGTCGTTGGTGTGGGAAGCTGTCGCCAAGCCGGACGACGCTCTGGGCGTGTGTGGATGGGGAATGCTCCCTATGTGGCACGAAGTGGGCGTCGTGCCCGCCTACGTGCCGTACTTCATGCGTCCTAATGGACGCTATGTGGATATCTTGCAGGCATGTTGTGGCAACGCGTATCGGCGCGGATTCTTCACGGACGTGGATGCACTTGCAGACATTCCGCCAGTCTGTGTGACGGTCGATGACGTGTGGATTGCTGGATATCTGCGAACAGTGGAGCAGCGACATAGTGCACTAATTAGCAAGAGGCTGGATCCGTCGGATCCGGCGTGGAAGAAGGAGGAGGCACGCTCTTCCGAGCGTCAGATGACGCTCTCTAGTTTCAATCATGAACATCAAGTACATTACAAGTGCGTACAGGCAATCGAGGAGAAGTTCCAGCGGCGGTGGACGCGCAACTTCGAAGAGTAACATCTAGGATAGGATAATCATTGACACTAGCTCGATAGGATACAGGCAACCGGTAGTGTTTAGCCCCCCCGCCTGCAAACATAGACAACTACTGCATTCGGCATAAACAGTAAATCCATTGACACAGGAAGACGTGTAGATGATATCGGATGGTCTTCCTGGACTTTGAGTCCCTATAAGCGTCAGATGCATCTACTCGTTGCCGTTGTGAATGGCCCCAGCCTCGTCCACAGACGAAATTTGACTGCAAGTAAAAAAAAAAAAACGTTAGTTCCAAACTTTGCACTGACACAGCAAGTAATACGTACATCCATTTCTTGTCGAGCGTCTCCTTCCATAGAGTGACCTTGTGGTCACCCGAAGACACAGCCAGCACGTTACCAGTGACAGACCAGCTCACACGCCACACAGGAGCGTCAAACGTGTGCAGCAGCTCGCGCTTCCAGGAGCTGTCTTCGGCAGTCTGCGACCAAATGTACACGTGCTTGTCTTCGGAGCAACTGGCAATGAGGTTCACGGGCAATCCCGTACTCGGGGCCCACGCCACATCTCGCACCCAGTCGCTGTGAGCGGGAACAGCGCTCAGCTCCTGCTTGGTCCACTCCGACTCGCCCTCAGGCAGGCTCCAGATCTTGATGGTCTTGTCGCACGACGCCGTCACCACGCGGCGGATGGGGCCCGACGGGCCCTGCGATCCCACTGAGTTGAATGGAGCCCAGCTCACGGCGTTGCAGCCCAGCGCACTGTCCTTGAAATGGCTCACGCTCCAGCCCTCCGCTACGATAGTAACAACACAGTGAGCCACTACATACGAGTATCTTTAATTGCAGCCAAACACGTACGAGAGTAGCTGAGAACGGAGACGGTGCCGTCAGCAGAGGCACAGGCGAGTGCAAGGCCGTACTCGTGCGGCGCCCAGGCGATGCTGTTGACCGAGGACTCGTGGAAGGCGTGGACGTAGGCCTGGGTCCACTGGTTCAAGCTCTGTTCGCGGTAGATGATCACCTTACCGTCGTACGAACAGGCCGCCAGCAATACGCCAAACTTGGGGTGTGCCCACGACACTTGCCACACGGGGCCTTCGTGGCTGCAGCATGTACTAGCGATTAGCTGAGTGTCGTCATTGTCAATAGATACGATTTACT